CCCTAAGACGCCCCCCGCCTCCCCCGCCCCACTTCCTATGCCAGTAGCAAGTCCAGGATGTCGCCAGTGTTTCTGACCAACTCACTACAAACTGGAGGTTCCAACAACCCCCACCTTGGGTTTCAGACACCAGCCTCAAATCCAGGTAGTTATCTGTACTTCTGACCAACTGGCTGTAAGTCAGAGGTTCCTACAACCTCCTCCTTGGGTTTGATTAATTTGCTAGAGAGGCTCACAGAACTCAGAGAAACATTTTACTTACTAGATTACCTGTTTATTATAAAAGGATGTAACTCAGGAACAGCCAGACGGAAGAGAAGTAGAGGGCAAGGTGTGCGGAAGGGGCACAGAACTTCCATGCCCTCTCCAGGTGAGCCACTCTCCCATATTTCCACAAGTTCACCAACCCGGAAGCTCTCCAAACCCCGTCTTTCTGGATTTTTACAGAGGCTTCATTACATAGGCAAGACTGACTAACCCACTGGCCATTGGTGACTGAACTCCATCACCAAGTCCTCTCCATCCCCTAGAAATCTGCAGGGGTGGGTTGAGGTGGGACTGAAAGTTCCAACCCTCCTCTGGTACCCAGCTCTCAACCTGAGGTGCTTTCCCAAAGTTACCTCATTAATGTAATAAGCCATCCTTATTGCTCTCATCACCAGAAATTCCAAGAGATTTAGGAGCTCTGTGCCAGAAACAGGGACAAAGACCAAATATATATTTGTTATTATAAAACACAGTACCACATCCAATTAACTGGAACTCCTCATTCTCATAAGGAAGGATTTACTATAAATATCACTGCCTATAAGTAGAAGTTATTATTTATGTGAAACATAAAAACTGTTCATTCAACAAATATTTATCCAACCCCTACCATGCACCAGGCACTGCGCCAACTGTCCCTGCCCCCAGTAGCTTTCACAGTCTAGGGCAGCCTTTCTCAACTGGAATTCCTCATCCCCAGGTGCGAATGGGAGGTAAGTATCACACACAAAGGATTCCCTAGGGCACTAGGGGTTGCTTCTCTCCTGGTTGAGAAAGACTAATAATGTAGGGTGTCACAAAAGTTAAAAGGAAATTACAATATAATATGATAATAAAAGGTTGCTTTTAGTAGGGTCAAATTCACCTGTTAAACTATGAACTACCTGGTAGGAGCCAAGATGCACAGATCATTTGTAAGGCTTGTGTAAGAGCAAAAATACTGCAATACAAACATTCAGATAAATATCTAAACATAATAAAATAAACTCACCAATATTTCCATGCTCAGCAATGTCAGGCCAAGGATTTTAGTAAAATGAAACAGGAAAAAAAAAGTTTAATTACTCTTGATAATGATAACTCAAGGAGGAAACTAAAAACCTTGCTCTTAAAAAAAATAAAATAAAATAAAAATTTCCTGAATTATCTAGTTAATTGCCTCCATAGACAGCTTCACTGGACTGGCCTTGCTTTGGACTCAGTTATAAATTAGCTACCTAGCTCATTAAATCTTAGTTTGAATTTTTTTTGTCTTATTTTGAATTTTCATTATACCTTATGCCGTCTAATTTCTTTCCTGTCCTAGGCCTCTCTGACTGATAGGACATTTTCTATGTGATATTATTACTATATGCTGCATGCTTTATGGAACCAAAGCAGTTTGAGAGCTTCTAGAATCAGATAAAATTTTTTTCCAGTATTTCAACTCGAAATTTAACCTTTTATATTCCAATGATCTAGAGGGACGGTGTAGCTCAGTGGTAGAGTGCATGCTTACCATGTGTGAGGTCCTGGGTTTAATCCCCAGTACTTCCATACAAATAAATATTTAAATATATATCAATGATCTAAACAGTCAAACCGGTTTAATATCACTCTGACAAGCTAATTAAACAGCATCCACTTGGCCAAGCCCCCTGATCTACTTTATTAAAGAATGTCTTATTTTAAATCGTTAGCATGAAATAGTCAAATGGGGGTGGATTCTTGTTTAGATTCTCATTAAACTTTTAAACCAAAGTGAAAATGCTATTGGAATCACTAGGAATTTTATTAAGAGTAAAAGACAATAACATAAAAGTCCTTGTCCCTTAAGTCTCAACCAGTCCAGACTTCCAATTAAACACGCTTTTAAAGGAAATGTACACAGAAAGGTACTATTATTTATTTATTGTATATGGGGAGAATGGGGATGTTGACTGGGAATAGGTGGTGTTTTTACTATACTCATAGAAATCCCATCCTTAAATCTTTAAGACCTCCCTACATATCTAAATCCTAAAATCCTACACCAAATCAATCAATTTCTTTCTACGTCAAAACTGTCAAAAGTAAAGTCATAATTCATCAGAAAGGAAAGAAGACAATTATCAATGGCAAAGACATCAGGGCCACAGCTTTAAAAAATATAGTGAATCACTATTTCTTTTAGCTTGAAATTAGAGAACCTGGGGAAATAAATAGCGTTTTTAAACCGACTCAGCAAACACTACAGAGCCACAGAAGATGATACAACCTCCCATGTCAGGTTTAAAAATGTAACGTCCTGTCCTAACCTGCAGTATCTAGTTTTCAGTGACCAACAACTACAATCAACTCCACTGTAATTTATTTCACATTCAAAGTCAATTTCAGACACAAATAGACACAGGAAAAAAACCACTTAATTTTGAAAGGAATTCATAGCCCCATCTCTGAAACAGAAAGGCGCACAACTTGGACTATATCTACATTGCTGTGCAAATCTCAAAGTCCAACCTAAATCTTTAGTTGTACCCTCCTAGTGACTTAAATGGGAGTGCCACTCAATCTCTACCAGGCAAAAGATGGAGACAGCGTTTGGCTTACTGATTAGGGGAGATGAAATCTGCATCACCACTCCCAAAATTTTGAAGTCACTCTTTAGCAATGAGTATCAGAGAGCACGTTTCACATTCAGTCCAAGGGTTTGCGATTAATTCCTTGCCTGAGGCCTAGGGCTCAGCTACAACTCCTGAGAGAACCTTTCCGCTTCCAGCACTGGTACAAATTCCGGAGACTTACCATAGTCATGGTTGTGCAGGAAAATGTGAGCAGTCGGGTATTCCAGCGGAAACAATGAGGTCAAAGCTCATTTCAGTGTGAGCATAAGTGATTCTCCGCAGAGATCTTGGACAGGGATGCAAAGTACTAGCCTCAAACCTGCAGGCTGGCACCTCAAACAACTGCTGCAAATTCTGCTGCATGCCCTAGCTTCCAGGGCCAGCGCTGCTTCACTACTAGACTCCCACAACGCAGAGCACTCTTAGCAAAAGGAAAGCAGAGTGGGCTTTTAGACAAATACTTGGGTTGTCTGGTTTGAAATGTTTAAATCCTTAAAAACAAAAACAAACCACGGGGATGTAAACATCTCAATTTTGAGCCAATGAATTTATTATGAACCTGAGTCCACTTGTTTTCCACTATAAGAATGGCATATGAAAAGATCATCCTTTTCCCAAATATTACAATTAGTCCTCTTTGTCACCTTTTCCTTTTTGTCACCCCCAAATAACACTCCAAGATCACAAGAATCTACGTGAAATAGAACTATGAAGTATAACGCTCTTTTACCTTCTTAGGCTAAAGGTGAGAAACCAATTTTAGTCACTTGCTTTAGCAAAGTATCCAGTACAGCCAATTCCTACGGATTTCAAGACCTTGATGTGCAAAACCTCTATTGCTCTGTGCCACAGGTAAATCTACTCCCATTTCGTAAGACATGCTTCTGGGTGAGGTAACCATTTAGAAAAACATTAACCCACTACTACTGTGATAATAATATCCTAAAAGGGCATGTACGATTATTTCATTTAGCCAGGGTACATTTGTGAAAGTTTCAAATGCATAAAAACGAGAACAAATTCATCCGACGCCTGAAAAATGCTAGCAGTGCTTCGATTAGGAATAAAAGCTGGAAAAGAACCAAACCGACAAGTTCTCAAACATACATCGTAAGGGGGGAGGTGGGGGCAGCGCACAGCACTCAAACATTTTTACTAAGGACAGAAAAATAAAAATTTACAGATGAACCCTTTCTTCCACATCATTGGCAGAAATAAAATCCTATTCCCGCCACCTCATTTTGCAGTTGAGGAAGTCGCTACAAATAGCAGCATAGAAGTAAATAGTCCCGGTTTTACTCCAGTCTTAATGTACCCTCTAGGAGTAAACAGGTTACTCAAAAAAGTCAGTAGCCAGAAATCGCTTTTCCCGATGCCAAACTCTCTCGGAAATTAAATTCCCTTTTCCGCGGATGTGGAAGGGGGTAAACGTGGACGAAGGAGTCCAGCCGCAGCTCGCCTTCCCCCCCGGGTCGCTGTCTGGGGCGTTCCGGGCTCGGCGAGGCTTCAGACCCGGCGCCTCCTGGCGGCTCCACCTCCACCCAGCCCACCCTGACAACCGCCCTCGCTTCTATTATACCCGCAAGGTGAGCTTCTTAGGCTGGGTCTCCAAAGTTTGCCCGGCCTCGGGTCAGCGGCCGCCCGCCGGCAGAGCCCCAGGCAAGGCTGAGACCAGCCCAGCCTCCCACTCCTCAGCCCCCAGGTCTTTTTTGGGACCACGGTGACAGGTCTAGGTCTACCTCCATGTGCTCGTGGCACAGGAAACAAAAGAAAGCAACCTCCCTGGTAATAAAACGCCATCTTCGACTAACTGGCAAACTGAGGGGCCCCTGGGTGCGTCCCCCCACGGGCCCCCCACTATCCAGCCCGAGGGCGGCCCCCCGTCCGAGGCAGAGTTTCTAACAGCCCCGGGAAGCTCTGGATAAACTGGACGGGATCGGGGCGGCTTGGGGGGGGGGCTGCTCCAAGAGCCCTACCTGCCTCCCACCCTGGCCGCCTGGGCAGCGTTTTCCAGTTAAAATTTAAAAGGGCTGGTGGTGGGGGTCTCCCAGAGACGCAATCCCCCCCTTAGAAAATTGTTCCGAAGGACCGGGAGAAGGGGCTGGCGAGCAAGCAAACCCGCACGCGTGGAGCCGCAGCGAGTGTACTTACAAAACGATTAAAGCTCCGGCGGAACATCGCGTCGAAGGCTGCCGGGCGCCGAGCTGGGCTCTACTGGGCTGTCTGGGAAGGTGCCGTCCACAAAACACACTGCGGCGTGGGCCGGCGGCGCGAAACTGACGGCGAGGCTGGCTGCCCGGCCACCCAGCCGCCCTCCTCCCTCCTCCGCCTCTCCGCACTCCCCGCCTCCCGCGACAGCCACGGACGACCACACGGAGTAGGGAG